GGAATTGTTTTCAATATTGGAGCTACTGGCTGATTCACTTTTTTTTTTAGATCTTGCGAATCTACATTTATTACAAGTTTTGTAGTTGCTACCATTAAGTATAAATTCTTCAGAGGAACGAATAGATCCGCAAGTGCTACACGTTGGCATTAGGGAAAGTATTTATTTTATTAATTCTCAATTAATTTATAGACAAAAGGATAATTTTATTACTGATTATTTTTAATTATAATATCAACAATAATCGCTAGCGATTTTATTATAAGTATTGAAGAGATCTAAAAACTTTTTGGTAGCGATAAGGTAACGGTTTAAATACTTTTTAGATCTTTAGTTTAATTATATTATTTGGTGATTTATTTGATTAATTCGTAGATATAAATTGGAGATGCTAAATTCGCATGAATGATGAAATGAATATTTGGATCAAAGATGTTTGAACTAATATATGCATGAGATAGGTGATTTGGTTATTCGAATATTGAACTGGAAAGCCCAAAATAATTATGAAGCATTTGGTTACATTAGAAAAATTTAAAACCTGATTATAATCAGTTGTTTTAAATGATTATTATCGATGAAATTATAGTGATCGATTTAAATAAAAATTGATTATAATCATAATATATAAAATCGATTAAATTATATATACATCGATTATAATTGTCTGATTTTAATTGATTACAATCAGGTTTCAGAATTTTCTGATGTATACTAATTAATTCTTTTTCAGCAATTTTGTAATAAATATTTAATTGATTAATTAAATAAAAATTTAAATCTACAGTAATCTCTTTTTTACTATGTTATGCTAATTGCTTTTTTAAACATTAATATTTTACTGTATTCGTTAATTTATTTATATATACGAATGTTTATACAATTATTTAATTTATTTAAATATCGAACCTGAGATACTTAATTGCGAGTGATTATTTAGCAGTTAAATTCGAATGTGATTTATTAATTAAACACGGACTAAAATTAGCAAAATGCGAATGTTATAGATGTTTGATTTGTATTATTTTATATCTTAAACCTGATTATGATATGAATTACTTGAATTAGTTAGTTATACTGTTTCAAAAATTAGTTTTAGTTGATTATATTTTAAAGCGAAATTTAATCAATTTTAATTTTCAATGCAAAAAAAAATTTATTATAATGTATATATGATAAAGTATTTTTATATTTTTAAATTTTTGTTACAGATATACAGCATCGCTTTCTTTGATAAAGGACTCAATATAATATGACAGTGAAATTTTGTAGTACAAAATGCATGTGCGACGTAGCAGGTCGATCATCGGATCATCGGATCGGGGATCACGTGACAGTAAAATCGATCCTACGCCCTGGCGTAGTCAGCTATGACTAGAAGATTATCAATAAATACAGAAAAACAATCACAAGCAACAATATGATTGCCAGAATAGGAAAAAGATGAATAATTAAATAAACAATAGCTAATTTTAGACAAATTAGTATATGAAGTTCGAAGACCTCACATTTTTAAGAGAAGAAAAAAGACAAAGAATTTTTACTGATAGAATATTATAGAAATTTTTATTTTTAGAATTTGTACCAATAGAATATTGTAGAAAATTTTATTTTTAGAAACTCTATAACTCCTAGAAAAGTATACTTATAAGACAAAATAGAAAGTAAATAAAGCCATACAGTTATGTTGCAAATTAGTAAACAAAACTTGTTTGCTATTTTTAGAAGACAAAAACTCACCATATAAAGAACACAAAGAAACAGCATGTGTTGAACAAATTTTGCACATAGCCGATATAACAAGACAGCATGGGTTGAATAGTTTTATAACATGGTTTTAACTAAAAAACACAACTAAAATTTTAACAAATATATAAAGGACTTGAAATTGCTTTTTTTCACTTTAATTCTGCTAACACCTCTTTTCTTAACAATTAAACAAAACAACCAAATCTCTTACTAAAATGAATCCACCACAAGATTTACCCTTTTGGATTGTCTCTGAACTTTACTGCAAAGTTTACGAATTGCAGGAGTTATGTTGCTACATGCAGTATCTTAGGACCATCATATGTGATAATAAAAGGCTAATCTTATCTTTGATTTGGAACAGTTGTATACTATAACTGCAATCTCTAATATAAGAGATGATCTCCTTTACAAACAAACTGAATTTAATCTGGCCATTCCCAAAGAAAATTTTTCTTGTTACTGTACTCATGACCATCACTACTTCATGGAACTAATACTATAAAGAAATCTCTGTTTGTTTTAAAACTATACAAATCAGTATACCTATAATCAGATCTATGACCTAGCATATAGATATTATTTAGAAGCTTTTGTATTAGAAAAACCCCAACATGGCCAACTAATTAAAGTTTACCAACTTAGATTATTCTGAAGGATCTACAAGTTGTTTCAAGCTATTAGATATGAACAAATTTACTGAACAAAAGGCTTAACTCTCAAGAAGATAAATAAGTTAAGTAAAACTTATCTTGAACAGTTAATTGATTTTTGTAAATAGTATAGAAATAGAGAAATTTTGTAGAACAAAATTCTTAAAAGGAAGAAAATGTTACAAAGTAGATTTTAGTGTGAATTTTACTTAGTTATAAATATTCAATATTTAAATTTTTATATATATAGTTAAAATAATATTTATTATTATATATTAGTTATTATATATTTAGTAGTATATTTTATAGTAATTGTATAGAAATATTCTAATTGGCTATTGGAAGTGTAGAGCAGTCATATAACCTTAAGTGACATAATATTATACAAAAGAATATTTTGAGTTACACAAAGATATTATACAAGGAAGTAATACAAGTTCATCTTCTTCTCCCACATGAACATCTTTTTTCACTATATAAATACCTTCTTCCTCTATACAAACATCTAATTCCTCTGCACAAGTCTTAAATATTTTAAATACAAAATACTGTATAGCAAAGCCTCTAATTTTTCTACACAAGATATTGTAATAAAATTTACTAAAAACTAACAAGCTTTAGCAAATCTTAAAGAAACAAGTGTCGAGTGGACAATCTTTTATTTAAAGGAAATCAAAAGTAAGATAAAAAAAT